GCCTACAGGCAGGCACATGAATTTTGGCGTTCAGCCGCGGAATAAACTGTTCTCAAGGGTTGTTTGTCTCATTGGGAGTGTGAAATGAGGAGAAACAAAGGTACGTGGGGTCAGTATCTCCTAGGTTAGAAACCGGGAGGTTTTCTGACCCTCTTCCTTCCCCCCCCCCTTTCTCTCCGTTTCCCTGTGGCTCCTGCCAGCCCCTGCCGCTCGGGTCATGGTCCAGAGCCAGGTATTTATTGCTCCTTCCCTTTCTTCCGGGTGAGGACCTCTGTCCTTCAGTAACATCCACCTGGCTCGGTACCTGACCCGTGCTCCCCCAGCCTCCATTTCGCTCCAGAAAGGAGCTTTTTTTCCTAGGGGGGGGGGGAAAAATAATCTGTATTTAACCCCCGGGTGCGTGTGACTCTCTGCTGTGCTGCTGCAGCCCCTCGGCGGGGCTGGCGGGGGCAAGATTGCTGGTTTTTTGGGGTTTTTTTTACCAAAAATGACACCGGTTGGGGTAACGCATTCCTGGACGGAGGTTGCACCATAACCCGTCATTAATATTTACTGCTTGCTGGCCGCCCTCCCGCCACCTCTCCAATATTAACCGCGGCAGGAAGGACGGGTGGCCGAGTGCACCAGGCCCTGCTTCCCTCCTTCCCCAGCGGATAATTTCTTTTTTATTTATTATTTTTTTTTTCCTGGGCGCGCTCCGTTACCGTCCCGCCGGGTGCGAAGCAAACCTGTGACCCCGGTCCAGAGGTCGCACGGAGGCGCTGAGCCGTGGCCGGGGGATGCTCCTCCGTTCCCCGTTGCCGCTGGAGAATCATTCACTGCCTTTATTCGTGGTGGCCGGTGCTGTTTATTAACCGCCGTTTGCGTCAGGGGCACGGAGGCGCTGAGCCGTGGCCGGGGGATGCTCCTCCGTTCCCCGTTGCCGCTGGAGAATCATTCACTGCCTTTATTCGTGGTGGCCGGTGCTGTTTATTAACCGCCGTTTGCGTCAGGGGAAGACGCTGCGGACCTAATAAGGGGTGTTGGGGCGGATTTGTAAAGGGCAGGATCTGGCCCGGGGGGTTTTTGCACGCGCCGGGGCCGGGGAGAAGCGAAGGTGAAGCTGCAAATGTGGTTTTTTTTAACTGATTTCACGGGCAGGGCTTTGTGCCAGGGCAGCTGAGGACAAGCGGTTTCCTTGGCAGGGCCCCAAGGCCTCGCTCGCGCCCCGGGGACCCCCCCTCCCCTTTCCACCTCTCCCAAGGGGCCGGAGCGGCCCCCGAAGGGCCGTGGGCTGGTTCGGGGCTTAGTTCAAAGGGATGATGGTTGAATAAAGCCATCGCTGCTCCTTGGCCTCACGATCGGCCCCTTGGCCTCACGATCGGCCCCTTGGCCTCACGATCGGCCCCTTGCT